GACTACTGTGTCTGGAGTATTTTAGAAAGCAAGGTTACCACTTAAAAATACCAAAGTGTCGATCACTTCAAGCAAGCGCTTCGCCAGGAATGGGCCAAAATACCGCAGAGCAACATTCGGACAGCGTGTGATGGTTTCATTGGCCTTTTGAAGGCCATAATTCGTAACCCAATTCGAACAAATCTAAACTTATTCTAAAATTTGATGCTATTTCTGACAATTTTGGCTTTCATTCAATGAATTAAAAAAAAATAAAAAATATTATGGCGTTCGACTTTGTTGCAGTTTTTTAGCTCGCCTTGTATATGTTTTATCCGATTTGGTGTTTAAGTGTCTTACATTCGATATCTTATAGGGCTCAGAAATATATTTGCCAAATTTTATCGGTTTAGATTTGGATATAACTCCCACATATATCTTTATCCGATATCAGGTTTATTGTGCAAATAATGGCTAATATCAGCCCAAATGGAGTGAATTTCAGGACGTACGTTTCCATTTTGTGGAACTCGGTTCATATATATATTTGCATCAAGCACTCTATAGCAAAGTTATTTGGTATAAGCGATTAAAATGTCTCCGTCGAATTTAGTGAAAATCGATTCAGCCTCCCATATATTAGTTCCCTCTGAAACCAAATTATAACTGCTCTAAAGCCAAATGTTGATGAGTTGTGTGATCTACTTCAAATAAATTCTTTTGTTACGGGAGCTCTAATAAATATGAATTTTGGTGTAGGGTATCATATAGTCGGCTCCGCCTGACTTTTGACTTTTCCTTACTGGTTTAATATAATCCTTATCGAAGTCATGCACTATACATTTTTTGGATCATAGTTGGTATGATCTACTTCCCATAAATTCCCGATATTAGCTCTACTACATACACATAGAGGTGTAGGTTATCATATAGTCGGCCCCGCCCGATTTCTGACCTTTCTTTAATGGTTCTGATGTGTAGTTTTTCAAAACCTACAAATCTTAAAAATCGTACTAGATTATAGATTAGCGCTTGATATGATAATAGTCAATGTTCCTCTCTTTAAAACACTCTTTGAAAGCAAAGACAATTGCAACCTAATAGTTCTGTCGCATATCATGACTGACTATCAAATCAACTGGTTACAGGTACAAACAAGGAACCATTGACTCACCCCTATGGCATCTCCATGTAAGATTCGTCAGTCTAAAGCATTTCGAGTAGACTGGGAGTAGATAGTGGTGATTACCAGTAACTAGTAAAATTTATAGATCGAAATAGTCGTTTCAACTACTAGACACCTAAATACATAAATACAAATACACGCTCAAATTTTAGAAAAAGTTTAATCGGAATTGCACATAGATGTCAGTCATTTTTGTTCGAAAATTCATTTAACATTTCCTTCAAATATTTATGACATTGTGTTTGAGTTCAGTGATCTTTTTGTTTTCATTAAATAACATTTTTGACATGTTTTAGCAAAAATATATTTGGCAGCTGGGCTTTAAAACAGAAATTGGAAAGTATTTTGCTAATTTGTATGTCACTCAACGGAAGTCCTCCAGTAATTTAATAGGTTCTCCTATTCAACAATTTTAACTTTAAAGAGGATAAATAAATAATCATGATTTCCATGTTAGTTTTATTTAATATTTAAATAGGAGCCTCTAATGGAAGGCCACGACCACAATTGTAAATTTTTGTTTAACCATACAGAAATCGTGTTTAAAAATAGAGGATGGCCAGGGAAATAGAATTCTGAATGAATGTAAAACCAGGAATATAAACCTTAAATGTACTACAATTTCTCTTTTTCAAAGCGGTAGTTTTCCCAGCAATAAATAACTTTTAAAACCTGTAGCTAGCTATGCTTTATTGTATCATTTATTTTGTATACATATGTACAATTATCCACTTAGTATTATTTCCTATAATAAATCATAAACAGATTGTTGTTATCGTTTGAAGAACCCACACCACCTGTCAATTGGCACGACAAGTTTTTGATATTGTTGTTTAAATTTGGTGAAAATATATAAAATTTTGGCAAAGAAGCCAAAACATTTTTTTTCAAAAATTTTATAAACAAATACTATGTACATGCACTCATATATATTAGAAAAACACATCATAAACACATTAACAAAATATCAAAATTGTTTAAACTTGGAAAAAACACACTTTTAGGAAAAACACTTACCCTGAACGGGCTCATTTTAAAGGTTACATGTTTTTGCAACATTGGTAACAATTCGTAAGCACTTTCAATTATTCCACAACCTCCAAAAAATTACATGGCTACACAGAGCTTTTTCATAAAATGTTTATAGAAAATCATTTTTGTAAACGGGAAAATCTACATTTTTTTCAATAAAATGCTTGTGATTGATTCTCAAAAGAACAAAATTTCGAAATAAATTTGATTGGCGCGCAAACGTTTTATTTTTTAGGTATATGGCGAGGGTGAATGTTCTTCCAACAGAGATCGTAAACAGACTAAACGTTCTAAATTGAATTGAATTGGGAGACAAAACGGATATAAACAGAAGCATTTTGAAATATCCAAAAGAATGGGAAAGCATAGTGGTGGGCAGACCAGAGAGGTGGGGAATGTGTGGCACTTTAATGTAGATGAATGAAATGCTGATGTTATGCAGAGACACCACAAGGCATCTCTCAACAAGATAAGTATCGAGAATAACAGCATCATAACATGTAGCAGATACAGGGCTGGAGATCTTTTGTTTATGCCAATCAGCATAAGGGGGATGGAAAATGTTAACAGCATAGATGGCAAAAGATGCTGTCAGATGCTGTTGTTAGCTATAATCAATAATGTGGGGTATGTTGAATTAATATAAAAAGTTTAAATTTAAAGCTTTTCAAATAAAGCTTCACATTATGAAAGAACTTTACGGAGATGGGAGTACTTTGTCATAACATGAGATTCGATTTTGTGGAATAGTTCACATATGGCTTTAGAGCAGTGATAATTTGGAATCGGGAGGAACTTATATATGGTAGGTATATCCACGATTTCCATTAAATTTGCCAGTGCAAAGAGTGCATGATAAGATTTCGAGAAGGATTATTTTAAACCAGTAAGAAAAAGTCAAAAGTCGGGCTGGGCCGACTATATGATACCCTACACCAATATGCATATATAGTACAGCTCCCGGTCGGATGTGTCATATTCAGGTCATTTGGACTGATATTGGCCATTTGGTACACAATCAAGCCGAAATCGGTTGGGAGCTTAAAGCAAATCTGAAACGACCTCGAAATATCTGGTACCAAATATTGTTGTTGTGGAGTGCATATTACGACTGTAAGGGGCTAAGGGACCAAATCGGATAAAACATATAACTATAACTGACCCGATTTTCACCAAATTTGATGTATTCGCTTCTAAACTGAGTTCGGTCATTTCGACTGATATTGGCCAATTCATGTGCAATTAACTCGAAATCGATTGAAGATAAACATTGAAGCTGTAGCCAAATCTGAACCGATCTCGATCAAATTTTGCAGAAATATTTCTGGGATGTATCTGATATCTGGCACAAAATATCATACTTTTTGAGTGGATACTACGAATGTGAGGGACGTAAAGACCAAATCGAATGAAAGATATATATGGGAGCTATACCTATATCTGCACCACATTTGATGTACTTGCTTCTAGACTGAATTCGGTCGGATGTGCCAAAATGCAGGCCATTTGGAGCACAATTAACGCGAAATCGGTTAAAGATATATGGGAGCTATATCTAAATCTGAAACGATCCTCACCAATCTCAATAGAGTTCGTCCTTAGGTCAAACAAATATTGTTCGGAAAATTTCATCTCAATTGGTTATTGAACGCAACCGGCATTTTTGTTCATTCATGGATAGACGGACAGACGGACTAACATGCATAAATCGAGTCAAAACCCAAAGAGCCCCTTGGAGTGGCAAAGGGTGTTCCCCAAAGTGGGATGTTATCTCCTACATGGGTTAGCCTCTAAATTTCTAGAGTTCCTTGCCATCCTGACTGCATAGAGGTCACTATTAAAGCATATCATGTTACAGTCATGAGGTGGGGTCTTTGGTCTTTGTGTAATCTTAAACTTATAGGACTTCTTCAGGAATATGCGAAACAATTTACCACATGACTTGCAGAGACTTCCCAACTCGAACTGGAATGGTTTGATATTCTAAGAAGGTATTTCTTAGTAGTATATGATATCCTGTAGCGATTACATTGATATCAAGCTTATTTAAAATTAGCCGATTTTATTCAATGCCGAATTTGATTGCTCGATCTCATTTCTGTCCTCTTTAAAAAACTCATATCGTGGTTGGTTAATTTTAATGAGGTCAGAGAGAGAGAGAAAAAGATTTATATAAATCTGAAAGCTTTATCAAAAATCCAAAAAAAAAAACAAAACGGTCTGGACCGAAAAGAAAAAATGGAAACTGAGCCATAAATACGACCCAAAACGCTATGGTCTATGGACGCTGTCCGAATCGGTATGCATAAATCGACTCAGAAAAGAACGAAACGGGCTGAAATAATATGATCTCTATAGTCATTTCAACGGACGATCAGATACTTCGTAGAGTCTAAAATCGAAAATTTCCATGCGTAACTAACCGAATATCGAAATGAATAAACCTTCATCTTACAGTGGAGAATATTAAAAATGAATTAGAATTTTCGGTCTTACAAATTCAACTTTATGCAAAAGCTTATTATAAGAATTATCAATACCCATCCCTGGTAACATTTGTCTGTACGGGAAAAGTTCTATCTTTTAAGATTAACATAACATAACATAAAGCTTTTTACTATAAACTTTCGAAATGCTTATAATGTTTAGTTACTATAAAAGCTTTCCGCCTCTTGCGAAAGTTCATAAAACTCATATACCAAAATCTTCTAAAAACTGTTCTTTGTTAAATTTCACCACCTTACCGTTAAACCAAAAACTTTAAATTTTAAACTAAAAAATATATAAATATTTCACTACTCACCACACAAGTTGTACGCATTTGATTGACCTGCATTTCCAGATCGCGTATACGCTTAACGGCAGCCTCTTCGACACGAGAATGTTTCGACAACTTGTCGACGACACGTTGCACACCCTCCATTGTCCACGAATGTTGACGCGGTGACGGATGAATGGGTGAACCCTGGTTGGGTGTTTCCATGTTGGTTGGCAACGATGTTGGACCAACTCCCCTAGCCGAAATATCTTCTGGGCAATTTAAGCTAGTCACACTACTGGCATTCGATTGATGCAGTGACTCAAGGACTTTTGTTTTCTGTTCCAAGGTGTTTTCAATGTCACGTAATTGTTCCACAACTTGATCCATAATCAAACTCTGCTCTGCGGTGGGTCTAATATTTTGAAGTTTTTCTTCCAGCTGATTTATGCGCATTTGATAGCCATGTTCGATTTCTCCTTTCAGCGACTGGACTTCCATTTGCAGGGCATCATTGGAGCGGGATTGGGAATTAATGTAGTCTTCAAGTTGCTAAAAGTGTGTTTGAAAAATATTAAATTCACTTTTGGAATTGGACGGTGTTTGAGAATCCTTACCTTAACCTTTTCACCCATGACATGCTCATTGAGGGCCTTTGTCTCCACCTGGGTCTCCAGATCCGATATTATTTCACGCAAAACAAATATTTTATCAATTGAGGCTTTAAGTTCCACTTCAAATTTATCACGTTTGGCATTCGAGTCTTGCAGTTGTTGGGTCAAATCACGGATTTGAGATTCTAAATGTTCCACCTAGAGGCGAAATTATGAGATTTTCGATAATTAGCAATAGAAAATGATCAAAAAATAAATTCGAAACATAAAATTTGAAAAATTTAACGAAAATTAAAAACGTGTTCAGTTTTTGGGTTTACACTTACTTTTTAATTGAAAAACTTGTAATTTGGTTTTGTTAGTGAAGCGTGCAAAAACACAAGATTTTTAGTAGATTAGGTTAGTTAGGTGAGTGGTTTTTCATGTGGCAGTAGAGTACGGTTATAAAGAACCATAAGAAGTTCTTAGTATTTATGGTAGAACATCAGTTTTTTTTGCTAACATTATTTGTCTTATATTTGTTAGTAAATACCACAGTTTATTATAACCGTATTGCACTGCATTTTACAATTTTATTAACTTAACATTTGAAATGTGTTATTTATGTTTTGTTTATAATGTTAATGTGTGAAAGACATAAGCAAGGGGTGCTGAAGAAAGGGTGAACCGAACATTTTAAAAATAATATTCATTTATTTCTTACAAAAAGTAAAATTTGAACAGACAACAACCTTGAATTTGTATCGCACAAGCAGGCTGCGTGTCTAGAAAAGCAAAACACTTGGGCTTTTATTTGCAGCCCACATTAAGAAGTCCATGTGAAAATGAATGTTTTCGAAACTTAATTTTTCTCATAAATAATGGGAGCATATTTTTTCAATAATAGCGTTGAGCGTTAAAAGGGCGTTGAGTCGAAAGACAAATAATTTTTTGAAATAAAATTTTGCTTTAAAAATGACACAAGTGTTTATCTTTATTTTTTTAGCTTTTTTCAATAACAAGGTATCTGTAATGTGCAAAAAGTACTATAAAGGTGATGGGGTTAATGAAAATATTTGTTACTAAACATTAGAATTATAAATAAAATAAACACAACAAAAAAATACATGCAGATGAACGACAAATGAAGTATATATAAAATTGATGAAAGCATGTGCGTATATGAACTGTTAACCAAGATAAGAAATAATAATCTTAATTCCAAGTAGTCTATAAAAATTAAATATTTTTTTTAACCAAATCGAAGGTTCTAAAAATGGGTGGCTGGAATGTAGAGAACCAACCATAATATTTGCAATCAATTTTAGGCCTTCGCTCAGGAATTTCTTAAAGTAGTACATGTATAAGCCTCTTTCTGAATCCCAAGTTTTAAAATCATTAGATATAGCTTCCGCAGTTTTGACATTTTGAAGCATATTTTTAGGCTTTAACTTAGGTTTGAGTTTAGCCATATTTTTTATTTTAGCCGAAGGATGTTTTTTAAACATGCTGAATTTTTAAAAATTATTTTATATTGCCTCGAATGGGGAATTGATTTTCTTGGGATTTTTTTAAATAAGATTAAAAATAAAGATTTAACCAATAAAGAAACTTCAAAAGTCGGATATAGCCGACTATATGATAGGGTATCATATAGTCGACCACTATGCATATTTATCAGATCCACCCATAAAAAATAAACGTTTTTATTGGCCAACTATGAACCTCTCTTGAATGCGTATTATGCCTCTAGATCCATTATAATTTGGAATCGGAAGAAACTAATATATGGGAAGTATATCCAACGCTGAATCGATTTCCAACAAATTTGACGGAGACATGTACCAAAGAAGATTGCTTAAATTAAAAAAAGTAAAAGAGCAGCTAAGTTCGGCCGGGCCGAACTTTTAATACCCTCCAACATTTGGAAGGAACCGGAAATTTTTCAAAAAAAAATCAAAAACTATCACTTAAATAAAAACCGTTATATGGGGAAGTTGACATGCACACGAATTTTTTTGTCATAGGATGTAGTGCCCATTATTAACTTCAAATACGAAATTTGAAACAGTTCCAGTAAATAATGATTTTAGCATTAAATTATCGAATATCGGGAGACATCGTAATATAGGGGTTATACGATGACGTCGGCTGCAAACGAGTTTTTTTTTTTGTCATGGGTTGTAGTATCTATTACGAACTTTAAATACGAAATTTGTTACAATTCCGGTGAATAATGTTGATGAAATCTCTTAAATGCCGAATATCGAGAGGTACCGTTACATGGGGGCTATACGAAAACGTTAACCTGCACACGAAATTTTTTGCCATAGGTTGTAGTACCCACTAAGATCTTCCATTACGGAATTTGAAACGATTCTGGTGAATAATGTTGCTGAAATCATCAAAATACCGAATATTGGGAGGCACCGTTACATGGGGGCTCTACGAAGACGTGGACCTGAATACTAACATTTTTGTCATAGGCTGTAATACCCATTACGAACTTCAAATATGAAATTTGAAATAATTCCGGTAAATAATGTCGCTAAAATTATGAAAATAAAGAATATCGGGAAGTACCCTTATATGGGGGCTATACGAAGACGTGGACCTGCATACGATTTTCTTTGCCATAGATTGTAGTACCCATTAAGATCTGTCAATACGAAAATTGAAACGATTCCGGTGAATAATGTTGCTGAAATCATCAAAATGCCGAATATCTGGAGGCACCTTTATATGCTATACGAAAACGTGAACCTGCATACGAAATTGTTTGTCAGAGGCTGTAGTACATATTATGAACTTTAAATAGGATACTTGTTACAATTCCGGTGAATGATGTCGCAAGAATCATAAAAATCCCAAGTATCGGAGGTACCGTAATATGGGGGCTATACGAAGACGTGGACCTGCATAAGATTTTTTTTGCCATAGGTTGCAGTACCCATTAAGATCTTCCAATACCAAATTTGAAACAGATCCAGCGAGTAATGTTGCTGAAATCTTCAAAATACCGAATATGGGGAGGTACTGTTACATGGGGCAATACGAATTCGGACATTTATAAATCCTCATAGAAATTTTTATTGATCATGAATTATACTTTACGGGTCGGGATGTGAGATTGCGTAACTGGTTGTTGTTTACACATCATGTTATATATAGCATTTTAGAGCATACATTCAGGCGCACCCACAATAATAGAAATTAAAGACCCTTATATACATGCTTTCCTTCGTTTTCCACCACGTAGATCCTTTATACAAAATGTTGAGCACCTATCTACATATCTGAGTAATAGGGTAATGGTCTAAGAAGTTTTGAAAATCTCTTCTTGCATGCCTCTTAATTTAATTTTGTAAAAGTATCGTCCTGGGTGGATGATTTTTGAAATAACAATGAAATAACAATGCGTATGAAATTATAATGACAAATGTGTATACATTATCCTTGGCCTTATAAAAATTTCTGAAATAAGAGTACCTAAAAAATGGTGAAAAAATATTACACTTATTCTAAAACGAATTAAAATTATAAATACCTAAAAGTATACAATGAATAAAAAACCATAGCCACCAATAGTAAAATTATTGAAATAATTAAAAATATAGCAAAAATATGTATACAAAATAATAAAAATGCATAACAACATATAGCAAAAATGTGTATACAAAGGACACACAACTTAAAATTATTTAAAATAATTTGAATGTATAAAAAGTAAAAGCAATTTCATTCACATACAGAAAATTTAACAAATTATTTATTTCCTTATAAGGAAGCCAAATAAACTGAAATTATAAAACAAGTTAATGAAAACAATGTAAAAGAAACCAAATCCCAAAACAAAATAAAGAATTCATGAAGAAGTTAAAGCAGAAAAAATCCATAACCATCATTTCAAAGCAGAAAAAACCAAACCAAATCAAATGCAGTAGGGGGAACGACAGTATTGTGGATTTTGCGATGATCTACAAAATCTCTAATTTACACTCACCTCCTCAGAGGCATTGGCATAGGATGAGCGTTCCTTTTCCTTGTCCCTCAGTTGAGCTTTTAAGTTTTCGATTTCCTTTAAGAACTCATCCCGTTCTTGTTCACGTTCGATGGCTTGCTCCTCGAGGAATTGTCGCGTTGCCTTCAATTGTTTGTCTGCAGTATCAATCTGGAGTGGAGTTTTGCGAAGTTGGAAGTTTTTGATTTTTAAATTGTTTTTATGATTTTATATTACACTTATTTTAAGACTATACTATAATAACTATTGCTCCAAAATACAAATAAAAAATAACAATATTTTTAGCTATTTTTTAAAATTAATGTAAATATTATTTTAAAAATTGTAATCAACATTTTAAATAAGTTTTTACAAAATAGAAATTGAAGTTTGTATATCAGAATCAATCCTTAAAAATTAAAAAAAAAACGTTCCTACCAAACTTGATGATATTTCAATGAAATTTTGAATCATATTTTTAGATAAGGGCTTGTGGATTATATAAACATTCCCTTCGCCGGTATAAAATCATGATATTGGTAGCGATCAGCAAATTTTGCAAAGTTGTAAGTATGTTTTATTTTGACAAAAATTATTATCTGTATTACAGAATAATATGAGGAATACTTCAATGGAGGAAAACTCCAGACTTAATCAATCACCTGATTTGAATCTTAAACAATAACAAAACTAAAGTCAACTTTTGATATTTACAGCATACTTTTGGCCTCAGGCTCGTGAATTCTTCAAAGAAACATTGAAGCCAATTTTTAGAACTTATCTTGGGGACTTCAAAGCATACTTTCAGATACAGGCTGTTGGGTTTTATAAAGCTAAACGTATAGGTCTCTATGGGCAGGTTGGGATTTTATGGTAAAGGCGAATAGTAAAGAAGTGAGCATGGATATAACAAACTCCTACCAAATAGCTTTGGAAGCACTAAGGCGAAAACTAGCCATGATAGACCAGAATTTCATAGAAGTTTAGAAATTTACTTTGGATGCTAGCAGATTTTAAAAGACATTCCGAATTTACGTTACCCTTACATAAAAGAGAAGTTGCATTTCAACCACCGAATAGAGTTGAAGGTAATAAGGTTGCCATGTTCATTCCCGCAATGCTGTTTTTACACAATGAACAAAACTGAACAAAATGAACAGAAAAAGCAAGAGTCTCCAGAATAAGAACGGAAAACGTGCAGTACGGCAAAATATACGTGTCAAAATCCCACAACATTTGACTTATTACGGGAATGATTTTCGTAGTGCGTTTAACTTCGAAGAAGGAGGATTTGTTCAAGGAATGTAAAAACCGAAGCACGTATTTTCTGGTTGTAAAGACGTAGATAAAACATCACAACCTTTGATGCAACGTCAACCCCTTACTGAGAGGTGGATGAATTGTTATTCTAAAATTTTGTTGACGACAATCATCTTTTTCCGTTCCATAATTGCAACCTATTGCATCTTTACCTATACTCTATCGTTATTTCACTAAATTTTTTATAAAACATTGAGTTCGGCCGTGCCGATTTTTTAATTCCCTCAACTATTGGCTAAAGAAAACATTTGTATGTGAGGTACCTGAATTCGGTAAGACCGTTTGGATAATCTATTAAACTTTTTATGCTGCTGCGTTATATGGGGCCAGACGGGGACCTCTATAGACAATTTTATACTTCAAGGATTGTCATCTGCCACATCTTCTTAAATACCAAGAAGATCAGGTAATCGGATTTAGACAAATCCGTGGAAAAATGCGGCAAAAATCATCAAAATACCGAATATCGGAAGGTACTGTTATATGGGAACTATACCAAAACCTATACATACAATGTTTCGCCACACGAGCTAGAACCCATTATGCCAAGTTTTAGAAAAGTCCGGGAAAAAATGAAAAAATGCCGAATTTTGTAACAGATCGCAAAGAAAATTGTATCTGACAATCGAAATATCGGATGAATATATATTCGAAAAGAACACTTTTTTATATAATTTTCCAATGACGCACAGCCGAACTATCATCAGCAATTCCAAAAATGGTAACCCAAGCTGTTCATTTAAAAATGTAGGCTGTTACTTTAAAGTTTAAACTTAACATAAATTTCACTGGGACACACTTTAAAATTTTCAAAATTATTGAAGATTAAGATTTAACTGTAATTATATGTCAGATTTTTAAATTTTACTTTTTTTTTAATTTTACTTATAAATGTTGAAAGGCAAGAAAATGTCTAGATGGGTTGTAAGTAAAATAAAATATTAGACCGGGTTTTAAACTTTTACCGCTCTTAAGACCAACTTAAACATCTGACGCTTATTTACAGCTCATCGATTTAGTTTTAAACATTAACAATCAATTTTTAAATCTTAACACTAAAAAAGTTGGATCACAAATTATTTTAATATTTAATCACAATATCAATTGGGCATGCTGTTGTTGTTTTTTTTCTACTGTTTTGCTAAAATCTATTTACAATTTTTTTCTACAACTTTTTATTTAATGCATAATACAATTGTATATAATTTGTAACTCACCTGTGATTGCAAATCTTCACGATCTTTTTTACTGCATTCCACAACTTTATCGCCTTCACGGCAAAAATCTTCAATCATTTGCAATAGCTGAGATGTAGAATCGTTGTTTGTTTGCTTTTGCGTTGGGGTCGAAAGGATGTTCCGTGCTTTTTCCTGTAACTGGGCAAAGCCGGAAGAAGAGTGGTCAGAACCCGAGAGCCTCTGAGGTGATTTGACCAACGACGAACCCAAACCATAGCCTTCATTATATTCCACATTGTTGATGGAAGAGAGTTGCGACAATTGATCTCTTAAGTGTTGCAACTCTTGACCCAAATCTGAGTTCCTTGATATGGTGTGATCAAGTTCTTGCTGCAGCATCAGGCGATCATTTTCCGATTTAATTAGACGATTTTTCAATTCCGTCAATTGGAAATGTAGCTCGGCAGCATTGACACCTCCCGCGGTGGAGTTGGAAGTATTATCCAAATACAAACGACTTAGATCGGGAGGCAGAGAAATCAGATTTTGCGTCTGCCCAATCAACGAGGAACGATGCGTAGACAATTGTTGTTCATTCAAGGAGTTGCCGCGAATAAATCTACGATTTTGTTGCAACTTCAAGCCATCTTCCTGTTCGCTGTCGTTTTTCTCCCTTTCACTTGAATAGGAATCTTTGCGTCCGCTACTTTCATTGTGTTTCTTAACCAAATCCTCCGAGAGATGCAGCAGATAAGAGGCCTCGGAACGTAAACATTCCAGACAATCTTTCAAATCGAAATCTTCCGATACATCATTATTCTTTTGGGTGATGTATTCAATGAGACTTGGATCCTCCACAACTTCCATTAAATTATGAACATCGGGTATGAGACGCATGCGGGTTGTATTTAGGGTTTCATTTAGCAGCGTAGTATTTAGGGTAAAATCTTCCAGATTATGTTCTTCCAGCGTACGATTACATGTCAAAAGACGCTGCACTTCATCCATTAGGGTTTCGGTTAATTCATTTTCACAGTTTGCCAGGCATTTCAGAAGCTCAGCCAAAACCTGACGGAAGGCATTGGATAGCTCACGCAAATTATCACGTTCACTCAGAAGCTTATCAAAATCGCGAATAGAATCAAACGTTGAGTGACGTTTGTTCTTGCGATTTAATTGTTTTTCATAGTCTAATTTTAGGCGCGACATCTGAAAATTAAAGAAAAGAAAAAAAAATAAATGGCAATTCCAATTACGGGCAAAGTGAGAGATATAATTGAGTCTCTCTCTGTCTCTGTCTCGCTTCGCTTACCTCTTCAGCATGTTTAATTTGCAATTGGGCAATTTCTAATTGACTTTTAGCTGTAAATTTCTCACGCAATAAAATCAATTCCTTTGGCCAATGTTGATCATCCGTTGTTGTTTCTGATAATAAGGTCTGGAATGGAACAAAAAAAACCCAAAATTAGTAAACATTTCAATGCAAAGAAAATTTAAAAAAAAAAAAAACTTTTCTAAAGGAAATAAACTTTTTTCTGGATGAAATGGAAAAAACGCAACTTTTATAAATATTTACAAAAATCATGAGGGCATTAAATTATTTCTTGGCACACAGATAGCTTACAATCGGGTTCCCTTCCCTCATTTTCGTATATAAATTAAAACGATATGAAAGCAAAAAAATTAATTTCTTCAAAGGGATGTGAAGGCATTGTTGCATTTAGGGGGAATGCTAACACATTTCATTGCAATAGCTGTCCAGCGCCAACGCGCCATTGCATGTCGGAAATGCTGTGATTTTGATGGACGTAAACAAAAAGAAGTAATGCATGAGAAAAAAAATATACAAAATAATAAGAAGAAGTTGTCAAAAAAAAAGTTCTGGCGCTTTTTAGTGGTGCATGTGTGTGTGTTTTTTTGTCGAGAAGTTCATGTTTTTTGTGGATTCCAAAACATATGAGTGGCATATGTTGGAATTTTTTTTTTAATTTTTAGAAGCAATATCTTCCTATCTCCCCCTATAAGAAATAGGTCAAAATTGTGCAATGTTTTTTTTTATGGCAAAGCAAATAAGTCAGAACCCCCAAATATTTTTTCATAGGAGTGTACGGGTTAATAAGAAAGCTCGCAGATCACAATTTCCCACAACGTAAGAAATGCTCTATTTTTTATGGAAAAGATAAAACCCGGAACAGCGAAAGTAGGAAATGACACCCAACAAAACATAACATTGATGATAATACTCTCAACCCCTCACTATTTTTAAATATAAATTTTTGAAGCACTAAATCCAGCCTCTTTATTGTTTTATTGAATTTCTAATCACTTAATTAAAAGCATCGCTTTCTGACTGCTGTGTTAAAGACCTAATATAAAACGGGTGGCGCCCAACAGGAGGCTATGATGTGTTTTTTTTTTTTTCAACATTATTTTTAATAAGTCTCGACATTTGCTGATTTCGTTTTAGATCAGGTTCTGTTTTATCTGTTATGAACTGAAATTTAAAATGGCACCCAACACCAGGTATTGGTAATAGCTTAAAAATTTTATTTGTTTTAAATTTTAACATAATTCACAATTGATTCTAGATTAAATGTGCAACATTCAAGTGAAATGGCGCCCAACGTGGGGCCCATTTCGTAGAAGCCAATTAGGAAAAATGGAACCCAAAATAGGCAATGGTAAGTTAATAATTCACAACTGCTTCCTTTCTGATCGCAAAATAAATACTTGGATTGAAAAAGAAACCCTATATTATTTATAACAAGTAAGCAAAGGCTACAGTCGAGCGGGGCCGACCGTTGAATACCCTACAATAAACGATACAGTTTATATAGGCGAGATACTCGAAAGAATTCCACAAGATATTGTGACAAATAATAAAAGAAAACCATCAGGTTTCGTTCTCTAATTTTCGAATAATAGTAACTTAAACTAATTTGCTCATTTCCAATTTATTGGTAGATGTTGCACTTAAATGGTCTTCCTAGATCTGGAACCAATATTTCCCAAAGACCTTTAATCTCTCAGAAGTGGCAAAAGATTAACATTTATTATTGGGTTTTGACTGAAACGCATCTATATGAGATACATACTCTTCAACGAAATCAGCGTTAACGAAATAGTCAGAAGTGCGTCGTTCCTGTATTTGTGAATTCTCCAAAAAGTCACTGGAATGGACATTTTCGTATTTTGTCTACAAAAGTTGGCAAACTCCTTCACACATTGAATATTTTTGGATGGCCATCCAAAACTGCTTGGCTTTTGCAATGTCCGGTAATCCCCATTCAAATGTGCGTGAGGATCGGGCGATAATTACGACCTGCTGACAATTTTGCAGTTTTTTGGTCCATTTCAACCCCTAAATATAGGGCGATCATCTCCAAAAAGAGTAGGCTTCTATTCTGACCCTCATCTTATCCCCATGCAAAATTTCGTAAGGATCGGGCCATAAATGCGATCTGTATATGATATCCTGATATCCTAACTACTTAGTTTTGTTAGCTGTAGAAATATTACCAAATGTTTAATTCAAAATGAAAATATGCCAAAAATATGACAAAATTGAAAAAATATGAGAAAATGTTACAAAATCAATATTTTCATCTTTAGAGAGATATTTTTATGCGTTTTTTTAGACGTTTTTTCTTTCCTGCCAAGAGGCCATTCTGACTTAATGAGAACTGTCGAAATCAGTTCAACCGTTCTCGACATATAAGAGATCTTTCAAGCATATCCTCTTTGATAGACATATATATCGTACTTATTTTGCTATATATCCGATTTGTTGGATGTTAACATCAATGTAAAGATCAGAAGTTACCTCGTCATGGCTTTGTGATTTCGCCGGGATTTAAAATATTCGCGGTTTAATGAAAAATTTTGAATTTTTTCAACACAAAAAATATGGTCTATTTTACCCGCTAAATATTATCCGATGACCACCCAAATTGGAAGGCTTCTTCCCCGCCCTAAACTCGAGCTACATGCGAAATTCCGCGTCGATTGGTCTATAATTGCGACCTGTATAGCTACTGCAAAATCCGACATTTTTTCAGTATTTGGTCCATTTCAACCCCTAAACATTTGGCGATCATCTCCAAAAGAAATAGGGTTCTATTCTAACATTAACCCCACCTACATTTTAAATTTCGTGAAGATCGGGCCATAATTGCGACCTGTAGAGTGATTACAAATTAACATGGACAGACGGACAGACGGACGGACGGACATACATAGCTAGATCAACTCAGCTCGGCGAGCTAGGAAGATCCATATATACTTTCCTATATGGGAAACCAATATTTCGAGGTATTACATAAATTCTCGCCCAATCAAACTTATAATACCCCCAACACATAGTGTTGTAGGGTATAAAAATCCGGCTTGAAAGCAATGCTACGTTTTTTCCATACCATGCGAAAAGTTTGTTGCGGTTTTTGAAGATTTCTACAACATGAGCAAAATTGAAAATAACGTCCTACGCATTCACAATTTCTTGAAGAGCTTACTTGTACGATTCAGACAGTAATTTTAAAATTCACGATTTACTTTTTTTCAAGAGATGAAGGTGCTACCTTAAAGCAAACCAGTAAGGAAAAGTTAAAAGTCGGGTGTAGTAGAGCTTCCGTAACAAAAGAATTTATTTGAAGTAGATCATACCACCTATTAACATTTGGCTTTAGAGCAGTAATGGCTTGTTTTCAGAGGGTACTTATATACAAGGAGAGATGAAAAAAACTGCAACCAACTTCAGACTGCTGTCTTTTCTAAGCCACTCGTCCGACAGCTGTTAAAATTATTCCAGCGACAGCTCATTATATTGTTTACAAGGGTACAAAAGCATTTTGGGAAGAATTTTTTCGGAAAAAAAATTATTCGTGATGGAATTCAAGCGTGATAGTGTGATTTCTTTATATTTAGCAGAAAACCACAAGTAGTTAGCGTTAGAACACTCCACTATTTAAATGTGAATAAATCTTTTGTGTCTCGTACCATCGCTCGTTACCGCGATATTGGTAGCGTAGCCCGACGTCAAGGAAGTGGACGGAAGAAAACAGCAACATCGGCAGATTCGCAATATTCCATTCGGCAAATATTGAAAAATGAGCTGGGGGTATAGCCTTTGAAATTCCGAAAAGTGCAAGAACTTACACCGCAACAGAGAGAAAATAGACTCAAAAGAGCTAAAGAGTTGCTTCGCTTGGCCGAAAGTGGTGAACTGCCGAAGTTGGTTTTCTCCGATGAGAAAACATTCGTTGTCCAGCAGTTTGTAAACAAACAAAATAATCGTGTTTACTTGCCAAAGAGGTCAGCTGAAAATGTTGGCCACCAGAACTCAAGCGCCGGCCATGGTGATGTTGTGGACCGAAATAATAACCGATGGTCGCTCTTCGCTCGTATTAATCGACAGTGGCATCAGAATAAATGCCGAATATTATCGCGAAAATATTCTGGAGGGTGTATTAAAGCCTTGGGGACGCAAACATTTTGGCCGCAGACCTTGGACATTCCAACAGGTCTCAGCACCATCGCACTCAGCACGCGCCACCCAAGAATGGTTACAAAATGAGGTTCCTCGCATCATTTCCAGCGCACAATGGCCACCAAAATCTCCGGATACCAATCCGTTGGACTATTTGTGACTGGAGTATTTTGGAAAGCAAGGTTGGCACTAAAAAATGTCAAAGTGTCGATCACCTCAAGCAAGCGCTTCGCCGGGAATGGGTCAAAATACCGCAGAGCAACATTCGGCAACGTGTGACGGTTTCATTGAAGGCCATAATTGGTGCCAAAGGTGACCAATTCGAACAAACCTAAACTTATTCTAAAATTTGATGCCGTTTCCGACAGTTTTTGCTTTCATTCCCTGTCTAGCCATATGGCTGAGGGTATAAAAATGGCACCCAAAGTAGAGTAGATTGGGATTTGGAAATTACGAAAACGAGTTCTTTTTCGAATACCTATCACAGAATGCCCGGGAAAGCCTATAGTAATTTAAGATATCCATTATTGACATCAATTTCCTTGGGATATTCGCAATATTCTCCCTGTTTATTTTCCAAATGCAATCAAAATTTCCCGAATTTGTCGAGTTCACCAATCTCAGTTAAGAATCATTTTATTTTTTTTTTTTTTAACAAGAACAAATCGATATTAACTTCAAAAAAAGGTCTCCGAATTTCTTTTAAAATAATCTACTCGAAAATCACTTATATTTTTATAAATTAAATTAAAAGAGGCGCCCAATGTGGCGTTTTGCTCGCTATTAAGATATGCCCTTTATCAAAAATGCATTTTGATAACAGACATTAGTACTTAAAATAAATGAATGAACGATCTTTCCCTCCATTTCCATTTCATTGTTCTGCAGCCACTTAGTGGCCTCGCTAATGAAATGTTTGGCTATTGTTTTTCTTTCATCGTAAAACTGTGAAT